GCTGTTATTGTCGTGGTTTGCTAATTCCCCATTTCAAAAACGAGTGGGTCGAGTTCGCAGCGCAAGGTAGTCTGGGATCGTTACTCGGGAAACAAATCTAAAGTAAACAAAGGTTTGTGTCCCGAGTAGCGATCCCAGACAAACTTGCGCGGCGAACTAGACCCACTCCCTCACTCGTTTTTGAAATGGGGAATGGTTCCTAATGTGTTACTTAAGGGAGGTGGACGTGGAAAGGGATCTTATTCTAATTCTTTCATCCTAGTATCATCCAGCAGTCGGGGCCACTGTGATTGTACTCAGCAAAGAAATTGAAATCTACTCTGCTGCCCTGAGGATCGAAGCTCACTTTGTGGGTCTGAGGTTAGTTCATATCTGTTTTTCTGGGGGGGGGGAATTGGGAAGGTAAGGAGATCTATCAAGTAACCGCATTAGTTTTGTCACAATGCTGTAAATAAACAAGGCTTGTTCACTTGTTCAAAGCAAGTCCATTGAGGAAATTTCCTGACTATTAACCCGTCGCTTTATGCATGTTTCGATTCAAGGTACATCATGATCAACTGGCCTGTAACATCAGCTTTACTGTCGATTACCATCAACTTTTTCATCATCAGCGCCGTGTTCTTCTTCGCGTACAGCGCTTTTTCACCCGACTCAGGATTCGAAGAGCACATAGCGCAGCCTCAAGCAGACTTAGACACTGTCACTGAAGAACAACAGCGTACCCTCACGCGAAGACGAGTCAGAGCGGGACGGGATAGGCCTGGAACCGAGGACATTCCCCCGGCCTCTCTAACCCGGCCGCCCAGGACGGGTAGGTTGAAGCCCAGAAAACTTTCTTCGTCACGCACCCAAGCACCCAGTCGTTCAAACGGAGGAATGACAAGATGTGCCTCCTTTCCTTCCTCTAGGTGGGACTGGTGCATTCTTCAAAGGGCTCCAACTTCGGCTGCACACAAGGCACCCCGTTCCCTCCATAGAAACAGTCCGCGTCACCATAGTAACGATGATCTGGGCAGCCGAACGGGCTGTTCGTGTCCTGGTGTCATTGCCAATGGGGATGGTAAGTATGGCAGCCAAGTTGCCTACTTCCAGAATCCTCGGTCCCTTACAAACTCACCAGTCGACACCGAACCCTACTACATCCTGAGCTTCCGCGAGGGAAGAGCTTGGCGAAGTGGTAGGAGGCATGGTAGTGACGGTGGCGATGGATATGCTGTGGCACGGTACGGATCCAGTGTGGATGGGTATCCTGTGGTGCGGCAGAGAGCTGGTGACGATGTGTATCCTGTGCTGCAGCCTGGCTCCAGTGGCTTGAGATTAAGCTGCACTAGGAAGAAAGTTCTGGAGCATGATGCATTGTCCAGTGGCAGCTCCACAGAGTGTGTTCATATGCGAAGGAGTCAGAAATTACTTGGGGGAACATCACTTGGTAAAAGCTTTGACTCCGCTCGCCGATGTGACCATAGTGCATACGAACGTGATTTTGATCATGGCTGCCACGACGAGTGCAGAGATGGCAGTGATCTATCTATCAATGAGCATTTGCAGAGTAGGGTCCCTGATGGTGCTGCCTCTTCGTCGGAGTACATTCACAATTTGGCCTCAGGGGCCAGGAGCGCACAGGACAGTGGTCTTGTTTCTTCAGAACAAAGTGTGAATCGACCTCTTAACGACAGCGAGCACGGAGAATTGGTACACAAACGATCGGTGAATAAGACTCGAGCCAGATTTGGACTTTCATTGAAGAGGATGCTGTCTAAAAGAGACGACAAGTCCTCGTGATGTAAATGGTTTGACACCAGAGGCGTCAGCCTTCACGTGTTTTGTTCTTCTTCTCCTATATATAAAAGACAGTTTCTTATTAATTTGCAGACACAAAACGCGCAGGACTTCCGTTGCTCCTGTAAAGTGGTGTTTTAAGACAAAAGAAAAGAATAACTCGAAGATTAATTTTTATTTAAAATTTAACATATGAAAAGTGTGCGCAGAGAGTAATCCTAGTGGTTGAGTTACTCCTGAAAATAAGAAATCTTGCCGACTAAACTTATGTCAACATGAGCCAAATTCATCGACAGAGTCTAAGTCAACTTGGAGGGCGACTTATCCAGGTTATCGTAACGGAGGTAAACATTGCCTTTGTCTGATCCATGCGCGGTGAATGAAAGTGTATTTTTTTTTCTGTTTTTGGCATGTTTGCTTTATCGATAGTATATAGCGTGAAACTGTGGATGAGTAGGTTCAGCTGAATGTATTACCTTCTCGCTGTACGTTGCTCAAATTTGTCTCAGTAAACTGCGCTTGAACAAATATTTTCAGGACTGTTTTCACTAGAACGATGAGGAGTAAAATCATTGTTCTTGGCATTCTTTAACCCTTTAACTCTGTTAAAGGACCAAGACAGAATTTCACCTCCTATTATAATTAAAATATCAAGCAGACGAATCATTATGATGAGAATGAAGAAAAATATCAATTAGTAAATTATTAGTTAATCCAGTATCAAATTCTTTGAACTGACATCGCAAGAATTGAAAGGCAGAAAATAAGAAGATTGCCAATGAAATCTTGAAAATCAAAGGGTTAATTTAAAAATCTGGCAGAGAATTTGCGTTGACGGAGGAAGGTGCGTGGAATTTAGTGACGTCGGGGAAAGAACAGCGACGAGGAATTCTGTCACGGATAACGGACTTTGATTTATTTGGCGCAAGTTTTATTTGAAAAGATTTTGCAACTTTTACAGATTTTATGTAAATTAAAGTGTTTTAGACAATGATTACTGTTTGAAATGTGCTAATTTTACAGCCAAACCAGCAGTCCAGGAAGAGCTAGGAAATTATTTCCTTTTTGCAAATGAGACAAAAAAGAAAAAAGGGACTGGCACAAATTGTGAGTCTATTGTTTGTCCTCTCCAGGGGTCTAGTAGGGTTAGTATTTTTCATTTTATCCTGTAAACGAACACTTGGAATTTATGCGATGGTGTAGTCTGATCGTCCGGGTGAGTGTAGTCCTAAGAAGGGCTCTGTCGTTAGTAGTGACTGACGTTTAGAGAACCTGTGCGGAAGTCATCATCAGAGTCAAGTGGATAGTAGTTGTCAGTCGAATTTTCTAAGTTCGGTTCGTAATAAACTGATCGATCTGTTTTGCCCTGATCTTCTTGGCCGTAAGATTTGGTATTTACTGAGTAGATAAAGTGTTGCTCTCTTCAATAACTTACGGATCCTGAAGTTCAAAACGGTCAAAGGGAACACTCGTGTTCTCGTAAACTCGTTCCTTAATTGACAGTGATGCTTTTGTCAATCACCGTGAGATATACAAAACGCGATTGGCGGATTTTATTCCAATTGTTTTGCACGTCCGTTAGTTATTGTAATTATCACGGAAGGAAACCCAAAAGGAAAAATGAATTTTGGATGAGAATTAAACATCGGGGCACGTTAATTTTTATTTCGTGTTCGGATTAACTACAAATAAAAGTTCACGGAAGGACTAATGAGTGGCCATATCCTAGAAGGGGAAAATAAAACAATTTCTGGCTCATTTTCTTAGTTTTCATAACAAACAATCCTGGATTTGCCCTAATAACGAGCTAGAAATAATTATTGGGGCATTTCAAGGCCGGAACTCAGAATTCATGTTTGTCGATGACAATGTCCGCGTTCAAGACTAGAATCAATTTCCCTTGCACGTTCCTGGTGAAACCTTACTGCATTTTTCTCCTCCACAATTTACAAAACTGAATTTTCCGAAGTAAATTCCAGTTAATTTCATCAGCAAGATGCAACATTTGAAGTGTAAGATTTAGGTTTCACTATTATGAAAATCTTCATTTTGAAGTGAGCCACCTCCGGTTCAAAGCCCTTATGCAACCGAAAGAAAGATCATTGAGCTTTTATTTTCAGTTAGTGCGTCATTTTCAAATCTAGCAAATTACAGCGAAGCTCCGAGAACTGACGTCCCCAGTTAAACAAAGCAACAAAGGCTAGCTCACGCTTTTTCATTTTAAAACTTTCACGTTTTGTTTAACATCAGTTAGAAACAGCTTTGAGCTTCGGCAGTAGTTTTCAGACTTGCGAGCGAAAAGCGAAGGAGATGCTTTTTACACTTGGAACGATTTTCCTATTCGCAGTCTGTGCTGCTTTCTATGGGTTAGTTACGATTGTATTCGTAATCTATTGCTGCATGATATTCGCAAAATGTGTGAAGAAAGGCAACGATATTGAAAAGAACGTTGACGACCTGTATGGCTCCAAGGAATATGAGAGCCGAACCGAAATGTCGGTTTGCATCAACGACTCCGGACAAGGGACGATCAAAGACGCCCACCGCGCCAATACCTTTCAGGATAGCAACAAACTAAACATTTTAACGTTTTCGAATCTCGCCCAAGTGAACAACTCGTGGTTCTCTCAACCGGAGGGACAAGACATGACGGAACAGGTCAAAAAAAAAATTGAAAATCACGAGCAAGCAAGTTTAACACGAACTTGGTTGAACAACGATTTCTCTATGGACACACGTTTTTGAACGCGTAGTTCAAACTTAAGTGTGGTAAATTTATCTGTTTTTTGCGATTGATATATTTATGTTACACTTTCAAGACTACAATAGGTAAGAACTGTAAGTAGAGACCGCTTTTGAATAATTTAAGAAACGCCTTTGTAAACAGGTGTTACTTACAAAACCGCGATAGAGAAATTCACATAACTGAAGTTTATCTTAATAACTGAATAAATGCAGAGGCCCTCCTGGTCAACCAAGTCAGAATGTTTTTCTTTTATATACATTTAACGGTGCACACATTTTAATCGTCTAATAGATCTTCATAACCAATTTGAAGACTGATAGATATATTATGGTATTATATAACTGAGATTGTTGGAATCGTAATATCAATAATATGTTTAGACCAAAATTTCACCAGTTAAGCCTTTGTTGAATTGCCTGCCTCGAAACATAATTTGAAGAGACAAGTTACTAAAGACATTGTGGTGCTGTGTGTGGGGAGGTATAACAAGGTAACTTGGTTTCTTTTCGCTCTGACGAAAGGCTAACGAGCTCGAAACGTCAACTTTTGAAATTCCTCACGGTAACCAATTTAAATTAAATAGCAAAACGTGGTTCCTGAAAAAACTATTTTGATCTCAAATGTTATCAATTTTAAAACTATATTTTTGTCTCATATTTTATATAACTGCTATATTAACAAACAATCAAATGATATTTTCCGCCCCACAATATGCATGAATATCATCTTACTTAATTTCGATCCCATTCTCGTTCCCAGGGTCTTTCGAGGTGTGGGCTCTGGGAAAGAGAAAGTCTCGGTCTCACAGGTCCTACCAAATGCGCATGACTGTTGTCGTCAGCTATGCGCAAAAGAGAAGAGAGCCTTAGGGATTAGGATTGTGCTGAGGCGAATATTCTATTTGCCCTGTTTCTATTCATGACACGCATCATAAGATAACTGTAATAGTGATCACATGTTCCAATTACGTCTGCGTAATTAAGAACTCTTGTTCTCACCCAACTTATACATACATGTGTATGAACATACCAGCTTCAGAGCCTTAGGTTTTCACGGCTGCGCGCGTAAGTTTGTGGAGGCGGGTGACGGAGACTGGCTCGAGCGAATGAAGTCGAGGCTTATTGGTGAATTCCCGTTGGGCTCTCGGGGACTGTAACAACCACAGGGAAAAAAAAACCAGGTAATTCTGACCACACTCAGGCGATATATTCATGTTTAATGTGAAAGTTTATTTAGGATGAGTCAGCCAGCCTTGTATTATACGCATCCTAGAGGAATCTGCAATGTTCTGGAAATATTTACTGAAACTGAAGGGTTATAAAAAATAGCCTGTGCTACGCCAGATACGAAAAACCACTTAAAAACCTCTCTTTAGAAGTGGCCAAAAGATACGTGGAAACGTATTCCTCATCTAATGCAGCAGCATGCAGCACTGTACCTCGAAGAAAAGGGTAATTAAAATAAACCTAGTTCAGTACACCACTAATCACACAGAAAATTAAATGAAAGCAGTGATATTTTACAGAGAATTGTAAAACAAAATTACATTAAATACGAAAAAAGAAAGTGGTCGAACCTAAGACTGACCGACCTAGAATGATTTAATTCTCCCGTGAAACGCTTAAATAATCCGAAACTACCGTGATGTTACTCAAACGTCAGAAATTACAATTCTTCATAGCTTGATTTGCTTTATTAGGCTATTATTATTATTATTATTATTATTATTATTATTGTTAATTATTTTAAATTCATATGATGGCTCTAAAAGAACTAGATCTTTAGTTCCTAGTCTCTCCCGGGATGTCGATGATAAAGCCTCGACCTCATGTATCGAGCTAGTTTTCCTGACTATAAGGTCACGAGAAACTTACAACTCTGCTCTCTTTTCAAGTACCTCTCAGTTTTCTGTGGCCACAAACGGAGGCTATGGGGCCGAGATATAATTAAAGCGTTTTCTCTTAAATATCTTTTTACCGTACGGTCTTGAAGGGAAAAGGTTTGCTATTTCCGTTAAAAGTGAACACTCTCGTTCAAGACAAATTGAAAAACCATAAATGAAGTTTTAACTCCTGTCATTTTCTTTAAATTGAAACTGTTAGTTCTGTTTGACATATAAAAAGAAATACATTTAAGGCACCTTTACTTTGTCGGATGGGTTTACAAACTTGTTGACAGATGAATCAATTGACTTGATGACGTTTCCGTTTGCCCTCAAACAAAGATAGTAATGGCCCAGAGAAGATTTTAATTTCCAAGTATGAGTTCGTGTCATTAATGCAGTATTTTAGACTTGAGAATTGAAATTCCATATAAGGTTGGGCAACAATATAAGAGGCCATCGTGATACGATCTGCAATCGGATGAAACCAGAGCACGTATTTATGATAATGACGTTTTGAAATAACACTAACAACAAAGAGACATGCTAAGCGAAAACAAAACAAATAAACATATGGAAACGAGTTTTTAAAAGGCCAGCTACATTTAATAAGTACAAGAAATAACGTTGCTTACCGGCGTATAAATTTTATGCAGAAATTATAGTCTTTTAATTGCCATTTGATGCTTCGAAACTGTCGAATGTATTGCTAATGAGTTAAAAATCAAGCGCGAAACCATTCACAGTCCTGAGACCTCGATACATCATACCGTGCTTGAAAATATAAAGAACGCAGAACTTGAATTTATTATTGTAAATATAGTGCTATGTAGAGAAAAGGAAAATCAGCTTTGGTGTACATGGGGTTCTTGTTACAAAAAAGTGGGGGAAAAAAGAATAATAACCCCTTACCAAGCTCAACAATACGGGAAAGTAAAAATAGCTAGTTATGTTTGATAGAGTGCTTGAAAAACCCATGTTTTAGCAGTCTAATTTTTAACCGGCTGGAAAAGCTGAAATTATAAAAATGACGGCAAGTAGTTTGACGCTTACAGGCCCTGTCTTTCTGTCAGTCTGTGAATAATTGATTTGATGTGGAGACCAGAAATGAATATACAAAAACTGACTGTTGATATCGACCAGTTGCGAAAACCTTTTCGATGCCATATGCCACTTTTCAAAGAGTGAGCGGACAAATCAAATATATAGTTATTTAAAATTCAATTACGTTTTCATCGCAAAGTACCGCGTGTTGACGAAGAAAAAAACTATTGCGTTGGTAAGAGTGATTTATTCGAAGAGAAACGTCGAATTGGTAAAGATTTGATCGTTAAAGCTGAATTGATTTGGGGTACAATTTGAACTGAACCACAAGAATATCAGTAATGCTTTGCTGTCAGTTTGGTAGAAATTTACTTGGAGTTCTGTGTTGAAAATAAGTGGAACTAGAAGTGTATCCGACATACAGAGATTTAAGTCGAAAGACTAGAACCGTAATCGAGTTTCGCGTTTCGAAGAAGCAAAAAATGTGTACAAAGTAGAAGGGTCAACATATTTGGCGCAAGCATCGTGGATTCAAAGTCGAACAATTCAAAATGTCAGATGCAAAAGTTTCGCCCATTGTAGGACAAGAAATATGGGCTGCGGTATCCGTCGTGTTTTGTGTCGCAGTTATTTTGGTGTTTCTCCTCATTTTATGCTGTGCTTATAGAAGACATCGAAGGGTTAGGGATTTGACCATGTTCAGGCCAACAGAAAACACTTCAGCGCCGTGGCTTGTTTGCAATGGTAAAGACAAACGCGAAGATCGCGACAGCTTTACTTCCCAGGTATAGGAAGCGCGTTTGTCCTGATGAATATTCGTTGAGAAGAAAGATGTGGAGATTTTTGTAAAAGTAACAAAGATGGCTGATTCATCACAAGGAGAAGCTCTTAATCCCGAGCTCTTCGCAAATTTTTATTTACCTTTACGAACACGGGTCGAGCGGACACAAGTCCGGCGATGGCAAGCAAGTTCGACAAGGATTTTGAATGTAAATTGTTGCAGATTTGGGGAAGCAGGGTTGGATTATGAAAAAATATTTCCCAATTCTACCAGAACTTAATTAGGTCAAAGATAAAAAGAATCTCTACAACGAAACTTCATTTTAGTCTTCAAACTATGATATATATGACGAAATGAACACGTTTGTCGTTTTCACTCAAACAACCCACACCGCTTCTCTTTAAAATTTCGTGACATTTTTCCACTTGCGCGCAATTTAGTCGTTATTCATATGCTGATTTTATAACCGTTTGATATTTGGAAGGTTTTACAACAACCCACAAATTTAAACGTAGTTAAAACAAACTTCAGTTACAGAGGGTTTACACGATGCAATATTTGATTTTTTTTTTTTTTAAATTAAATGATATGCCGAAAAAAGCTGAAAAATAAAGTCTTTGTTATCAGTCATCCAATGAAAGCTACAAAAAAAGAATTTATAGTAAGCGTTCCCTAGACGTTTTAGAATCTCCCTTCAAGGCAAATAATTCATCTATGTTAAATTAATTACATTTCAATTTGCCTCAGTCCATTTCTATAAATTTAAAAATACATTTCTGATTAAACAAAATCATGAAAAGATTGCAGGGGAATAAAAAAAGTATTGATGGTAAAAGTTTCTAGTTTGCTTAAAACTGAACGAAAATTTAACTTTTTTGAGTGGAAATTGTGGCATTTGCCAGTTTTCTTGATACAAATGTATTTTAATAAAATGCTACCACCTAAGTAAATAGCCAAATTGTCTTTGACAGATACATAGAGTTGATTTCATTTTTAAAAATAAATGTAGGGCACAAGTTGTAAATGCCAGCTTTTTTGCAGTAGGTAATCAGTGAAGCTTTATCAAGAAATTTGTTTTCCATAATGCGCTTTTATCTTTCATCTTGATTAATTCATTCATTTTGAATTCACTTCTTCATTGCCGGTGAATGTGTTCTTCGTTTTAAGGACGTCAACGTTGCAGAACATATATTATTGTTGCTGGAATTTGCGTTTCGTGTATACCCTTCCTACAACACTTAAGACATGCAGGTTTTATAATTTTCTGCATCTGTTTTTTTCTGGCAAATTCAAGCCTTAAAGATGATTTGAAATCTTATATGTAACCATGAAGTTGTTGCGACACCCTTTCAACTCAGGCTTTACGACTTGGCTATTTTGGCGTAATTGTCATTATTAAACGTCCGTTTCATCGCCTAAAAACATCTGGATGCACTCGCAGTCGGTAGATTCAGATAGAATTCGAAAACGAGCAAAATTTATAAGACGATGGGCAATGTTCTCTTGCCCGAAAACCGCGAAAGAGCAAAACGAAAATAATTCAAAACTGATCAAAATACTTGAAAATGTGGTAAATGCAGTTTCTATTAATGAGTTATACTTCCGATTGCTCTTTATCAACCAGCGCAGGTTATTGTCACGTCTTGAAACAATGTTACGAAAAATAAGATGCTCACATTTTTACATTTCATACACATTTCACTTGCGAAAACGAGATGAATAATATTTATACATTATCAACCATTTCGTTAATTCCGTCAAACCAAACTCTGTGCCTTGTTTAAAAATTGAAATAGTTTCCTTTTTGGATAATCTACGCGAAAGGGAAGCTATATTGGTGCTATTTGGCTGCCGGGTGATAAATAATACACAATGACCTTTGAACAGGCCAATCAGTGCGCGCGAATTAAGAAATTGACCGAGTTACTACGAGAGCCCTGATTGGTCAAAAACCTATGGTTTATACTGTTAACCATAGAAAATTGAAACATTATGTTTTGTTAAAGTTTATTTTATTAAAGCAAAATACTGCACTTTTCATCGGTTTAGGAAAACACTCGGAAAGTTTTTGAATCACTCGCCTCCGGTTCTAGCCTCCTGAGCGGCGCAGACGTTCTTAGGCATCGTCACGCAATGATTGCGTGACGATGCCTAAGAACGTCTGCGCAGGAGGCTACTCCGGTTCATGATTTACAAACTTTTCTTGTGTTCTCCCACCATACCACGTGGGTTATTACGCCGATAAACCGATAGAAAGGGTGGTCTTTTGCTTTCACAAAATAATCTTTAACAAAACACATAATGATTCAATTTTCTATGATTTAACGACAGGTTTCAAACCGATCAGGGCTCTCGCGCAGCATCTCACTTAAAAAAAAGCCCCTGTTTCTTAAGATCAATTCAAGCATATCCATTTTGATTGATAAGTTAAAAAAAAAAGTGCATTTGGGAAAATAATGATATACAGTTTGTGACAGTTTTAACGACATTTAAAATTCATGGTAATGAGATGTCATCAGTTTTTTCGTTTCTTCTTTACCAAAGGATGTATACCAAAATAGGGCGTAAATAAAGACTACAAGTTATTTTAAAAACCCTCTTTATTAAGCGAATATTGTACAAAATTCATTCAAAATTTTGTACATGTCGAAAGAAGATCACCAACGTTTTTGATATATTTTTTTCATATTAAAGTTCTCTATTGATCTCTTTTTGAAAGGAGTTTTTTCAGTCTCGTTACGCGACACTAAATATCCCTAAAAAATAAGTAAGCTAGACAAGGATGCTATTGAAAACCTAATTCATCTTCATTTTGAAGAGTTATCCGTTAATCATAAAAAAAAACAACAACAAACAAAGAAACAAAGAAAAAAACAAGAAAAAAATGGAAAACAAACCCAATTTTGCTTAGGGACCTTAAGCAAATCCCGACGATGACGCCAATGAGGACATGGCAAAAAAAGAGATACAATGCCGGGCAGAACAAAAGCGCAGCACCAGTGTTTTAAAACTTTGTAAATTTCTTAATCGTCCTTTGCCGTAAGGCGACTAATACAGCTTGTTCTCTAAAGAACTCACAGTAAAAAATATCTCTTTACAAACCTCTAACTGAGTAAAAACAAAACAAATAAAACAAAATAAAACAAATCGAAAAAAAAAGGTGACAAACCCCGTCCATAGCTAACGTTACACGAAAATTCATTAAGCCATCCTTCCCAACTGTTAAATTCTATGTTTTGAAAACAAGCCTTTTCCAGGTATTCTGTGCAAATCAGTTCTCCCTGCTGCTGAGTGTCATGTAATTACGATTTCATTGCCTCACGATGAATTTCCATCCTAGGCCGAGGTTCTTGGCTTAACAACAAGCCTTTGGCGCGCGAAATATTTGAGTGCAAAATAGCTGCTTCCGTTTTCAGGAGAGACATGATGGACCAAAGACGTGACTGTAACTCTGAGCACGCATTCTCAATAGCGCCAGGCTTTTAGATGACCAATCATTCCGCGTCATATTGAGTGACGTCGGGCCTTCCTTCTCGTAAAGAGGGCTCTTAGATGGCGAGAGTGGCCGTGCAAAACCTGGACTCCAAGGTGGAGTACTAGTAGGCGCCAGACCTGCCCCACAACAAAGGCTCCCAGGCGGACACGACCGGCAGGGGGAGTGGACTGGGCGCGAGGAAGGGCTTCGACTCTCGAGGATATTCTTAGAGCCTGGTAAAGAACTGACTGGGCAGGCCATAGGAGAGACTGGGAAATAAAGATGAGAAGCCGGAGAATAGAGTCTTTCGGGTGGATAATAAATGCCTGAGTGGTAAGGGAACGATGTTCGAGGGTGTTGACGTTCCTGTTTACGATGTTTTGCTCGTCGATTTTGAAACCAAACCTGAAAGAAATGAAATGAATCGGATCGTAACTTGCTTTTAAGGTGGCTCGTACCGGTTTTCATCTTTGTGATGGTTTGTAACTTTGAAAGAATACAACAGAAAGACTGACCGAGGCCAGTTGAACACTTTTATGGGGTTGAATTACATAATCATTGGTTATCCAAAAATAAGTGTCATTTCGTCACTAGCAGTTTCCATGGCAACGCTTTCATAGGCTTATTCAGACGCATTTTTTAGCTTGTGGCTGAAACAATTCGAAAACTAACCCGGTGACCCCCTGATTTTTTTCAGTGATTGCTTTTGGCACTTGAAAAGGAAAATGCACAAAGATTTTTAAAAAATTCTACGAAGCGGAATTTCAGAAAATCTACAAAAAGGGCAATTTTCACACATCACAAATTTCCTTGCGTAGAATTTTCTAGTTTTTTTTTCTGATGATTCCTTTCGACGTTATTATCATATTGGTACAATAAAAAGAAGGGGTCACCGGACTTGTTTTCATGCAATAGCTTTCGTGAGTTTAGCAAATTCCACGTGCGTTCTCGCGCATTTAAAAATCTGGATTCTATAAGATCGACATTTGCTCATGATCTGTTTTAGCTACCGCTGACAAATGCGTGTGCTCGCGCGAGCACCTACGATCTGATGTTTACAGACGTTTACTGCTAAGAAAATCATTAAACAGCCGTCAAAGACAGCATTCCGAGCTCATCTTAAAAATCCTACACTTGACTTCTGGCTATATCATATTATTTTCCTTGAAGTTTCAAAGTCTTCTTCCACTTCAGGTAGATTATCCTTCACTTGAGTTCTTCTTTTATCGCCGTCGCAAGATTTCATATCGGTTGAATATTTCTTTTAAATGTGAAGTGAAGCAACCTTTACTTCTCCGAAAATCGTCTTCGTTATCTTAGTTTCTATCTCCTGCATTCACAGTGGCCGCTCAACACATCAAATACAAGCTCTTAGGTAAACTTCTGACAAAAGTAGAAAAAATTCCACGCACCGCCATCTTCGATTTGAATTTTCATCTTTTGATCTCGCGCTTCTTTCGCACGTTTCTCTCGCGCGCGTCAYGCAAGAGTGACCTGTTCCCCGCGCGAGGAAACTAGTACGAGCCACCTTAAGAAGTGCTCAATCTTATAACTGCAATTTCAGTTCAATTTTCTAATCACGCGCGCGGTAGCTCGCCCGCGACACGCGATGCGTGTACAAGGATCGTGCTGAATATATATTTTTGATTTGGTAAGCATTACGTAAATCAATATTTTATCATGAGGGCATTGGTGAAACGAAAGGTAGTTACGAAGGGCAAAATTCAGAGTATAGTGATAATAAATATAGAATATTAAAAGCTAAATTGGAATACCACCTCAAGGTAAACGCAATAGGCAAACATGCCCCTTACAAAGGACACCACACAATCAACAACGGACACGTGTATTTACAATGGCATCGAAATAATCGTTATTGGTGGGGGAGCTGATTTTAGTTTCAAGACGACTTTTATATAAAAGATCTTAACTTTTCGCTGGAAAGAAAATTTCTAAAAAGAATCATCGCTTTGATTTAAGAAGCACAATAATAACCCGATTATTTTTGTTGTTAGCATGAATTTCCGAAAGAGAAAATTATCGAATATTTTTTTTTTCTTCTTCAGAAATGACAGGAAATTTCTTGCGATTTATTTCGAAACGTTGCAACGGAATTTAACAAGTGTATGATATACTGAGAAATCGAAATTAACAAAGAGCGAAAATCTTGGAGCCATCGATTATTCCAAGTTGTCCTTGAAAAGAGCGCAATTAAAGATATTCTATATACAAGGCTAAAAGATTAGGAAAAAAATTTGTAATCCTCAATAATTTCTAAGCACCGTTCTTTAGTCTTTGTTAATTACGACCGATGCAAGGTGTCTCAGCATGTCACAGTACATGATGTAAAAGCACAAAGAGAAAGGCTTTAGAACTCTCATCAGTGTATCATTAAAAAAAAACTTTCCTCGGGCGAAAACTGTTTGATCGCCCCTTAAGTCATGTACTTTTCCAGAGAGAAAACGCAATGATTACATGTGGTTCGGATAGTTTATTCGTAAAAGGCTTGGCGAGTACTTTCCCATGCTAATGAATAGCACATCATTTCAAGAACACGCAGCTCGCAAATACATCAACCTCATCTGTAGTTTCAACTTTTGTGCGGAGTCGTAAATTGTTTGTCAAAACACAACAACACGACCCACGTTTGGTATAATAGATCTTCAGTAAAACTCGACCCAGCTTATTAATTGCCCACTCGACTAATGAAAGAACTCTATTCTCCTGCCGAGATGGTATTCAACAAGCAATAAGAAGCTTATTTACCTGAAATATTAATAACACGTGCCATACGGTAAATTGTATCAAAAGAGCTAATAAGCTATCTGTTACGCCGCCAATTTTAGAGCAAAATCTCTTATTAATAATCTTAGGATTAATTATCGTAATAACTAAAAACAATCGTCAGGAAATTGGTAGAGTTCCGCAGTATTTGCCATTCCACAAGCAGAAACGTAGTTATTTATATGTCCAAATATGTTTTGCTCGAGTAAAATGTAAACGTTTCAGTCTTGGTTTCAGGACAAGCGTGAGGTAACTCAGTAAATTTTCCTCTACTGACGGAAATTTATGAGGTGTGTCTCTAAAAAGAATTAATTAAATCAAGCTCCTCAAAATTCATTTTGGAATAGGAATATTTAGTTAAATTTTGAGTTAACCCTGTTGATATAACGGTTCTCTGAGACTGAACGTGTTGTTTTCATTTGAAAGATAAACAATAGATAAGTAAATTCGTAATTATAGCTGGCTCAGTTTCTTTCGATATCACGAAAGCAGGTTTGTGGTGAATGAGGCGTTGAAATTTGGCAAATTTACACATGGAGAAGTCCCAAATTCGCTTTCACGCATATCTTTACCTCTTCGCCTCTGGCCAGAACCGTGAAGCGAGTATTTTTCACATAAGGAATTATATCTAAAAAAAATCTTAAATCTAAAATATCTAAAAATCCCTCAAATGATCTCTTAAGACGTAAGATAATTTCTCCTTAATGGCATGCGGAACGTGCAAGTATTTTCCGAGCTTTGAGCTCATTAGAATTTTTAGGCGGCCGTGTATAGGAAATTGGGTTTTCTTCGCAGCTCTTGAAATTAAATCAGTTATCTGAGGTTTATATCAACAACTTCTTCGAAGTTAAATTTGTTATCTTGTTTCAATTTGACCAAATGCTTGTTCTGCTTAAAAATTTACGAAATTGTGCGGGTTTGCTTTGAGATTGGACAAAAGAGTCATTTAAATGGGTAATTTTTAGAAAAACTAATCTTCTGCGAGTCGAGATTCGCCAACAATCTGTGGGTGTAACCGCTAAACTAGAAATTAGGAAAAAATTATCTTCGATTTTTTTCGGCTAATCAAGCGCCCAAGTTGGTGCCAATTTTTTTTTTATGTTTGTTTAAACTGCTTAGCGGGTTGAGTTTTGTCAAGTCTTTCACACCTATCGGGCGATACTTGTTTTTCAAGTGCCTACTGTTTATTAATGACATCCAAAGATGTATGAATTAAAAAAGCCACTTATGGTTTTTTAAACTCTATTTACCAAGACACTCGATCAAGCCGTAGACCTCACCCCAAACCTCAGAATTATTACATCTAGCAACACCCATTCTTGTGTAGAATTTGTCAGGAAGTTTGACGCGAAAACAAAACAAAAAAAAAAACAGCCATGTTCTTTCCCAGCGAATTTGCACGCTAATTTAATTTCCACTTCTCCCAGACCTTAGATGTATTATTTGTTAATGGCAAACTTAAGAAATTTAAAAGAGTGTCATTTGCGTCTAAATACGCTTTCACAAAACAAATGCCGCCCTTATTCATATTGATACAAAAGGTACTCCTTGAATAATAGATGCGCGAAATTCTTCAACTTGGGTAAACAGAAACCTTGACAATTTGCCCTGTTCTATAGAAAACTATTGTATTCCTTAGAAGGACTGGAGAAGTCGCCTACACTCTGAAAAAGCGGAGACATTTTGTCTTCCTGATTACGACGATTTCTGCGTTCAATTTTTAAGGCCTCTCGAGTAAGATCGATGTGGTAAGTTTACTTTTCGTAATAACTTCCAACAGCTGCTAATTAAACTGTCTGTTCACACCATCCACACACGTGCGCCGCAAAGCAGGTGGAAGCGCTGCTGCGCCTGCGTGGTATCGTCATAAGCTAATTTAAGCTTTACAGATTAACACTTAACTTTTCTCTCAACAGAAATTCTCCCTTAAAGCGACGCGCCCATCAGGGTCAATCACCACAGAGTGCACGCTTTTGAAATAAGTTTAATCCCAGCGCTGTTAATTCTAGTCCTTTTTTTTTTCCTCCAACGTGTGGGTAGCTCAAGATGTTTTTGTGTCCTTTTAATTGAAAGTAATAACAAAAACAAAGATAGCCATTGATTCTATTAGCCTTGGCCGCCCATGAGCGTAGGCCAAGAAGACGAGAGAGAGACAGAAAGAGAAGAGATAATTCGTGGTTCTTTTAAGTGTCGTACCTGTACTCGAGCTTCGTTCAAATTGATTCCCTTTGCAAGCTGCTCTCTTGTAAATACGTCCGGATATTGAGAGTGGTTGAACGCTTCTTCCAAAGCGTCAAGTTGAGCCTGCGTGAATGTCGTTCTATGTCGGCGTTTGCCGATGCCAAGCTCCTCCGCTGAACTGTCCTCCTCTCGTTTCCTCTTGGCGGGGCAACCTTTATGAACAACGTGAATTAACAAGCGCGCTGGAGATATTTTTCAAATGTTCATAAAGTCACCAACACAACCCAAACAACTAGCAACTTCGATTTGTATTCTTACCAAGAATGAAAAAAAAAAAAAACGTCCACAGTAATAATATTAACAGTTTGATATTTGCAATAATTATGAGTTTTATCTATTCCAAAAGAGTATTGCGACGCGCAGCAGATTTCGTGCAGTGAATACAAACTTGGTCAACTCCAAAATGATATTCGATGAGCTTTGTGCCACAAGCAAGCAGTTACAAGGGAGAGACATATCCTGTATCAACGACCGTTGACTTTGCAACGAGGTGTTACTTTGCTAAATGTTTTCTGTGTCACTTGAAACTTTTCAACATTACATTTTAGCTTGTCTGATCTGAATTAGGAACTTACCTTTTAATAAGGGGTCTTTGACTTCTGTGTCGTCCTTCTCCTCCTTGGCATGTATCAAATTCAATTTGTGATCGTTGGAACCGGCTGGAATTTCCCGATGGAATTCCGAGACACTGTCAAATTGCGAGAAATCCCGGTCTCGATCTGACATGGCGTTCTAAATCATTCACCTACTACAAACCTTTCTGGGCCAATGTTAGTTGTAAGTGTAAGGGAAACTGTCGAAAGATAATTGCTTTGTAAAAACTATTTGCATTGCGATGAGTTCGTCGACCAATCGCAGAGCCGCGTTTAATTGTGTCGTTCTCTGGCTTGTCTTCGCACGCATCTGATTGGTCGAGAGCTAGCGCCACAGTAGTAATTTAATTAGATTCAATTGATAGTTAAGAGCCCATTTGGCCCTCCGATCCTGCTGTTTTGTTTGAATAACGTTTTGACAAAAGCTATTAAGCGGCAACCGTCTGAAAGAAATAACACCAAACTTCCTCCCCGGGTGATTCACCAAGGCCCACAATTCCACTAATCAAATTAGCGACAAACAAAGAGCTTTTCGTATCACGGGTACACGAATGTATTTACAGGCACTCCAGCCTCTTTCTGCTCTGTCGCTCAGGGCAGAAAACAATGCAAACAACTGACAGCAAATGTTTGCTCTTGACACAATTTATTAGTTGACTCGATTTGGGAAAAGTAAATCCACTTCAAAGCGGATAACCACTGGCCGCCGCTCAAGATAAATTATAGCAGGTTTAATCTTGGAGATAAGCCTGCAAATTATCTGTGAGGTATAGAAAGACCATTTCATTGAACAAAATTAACAATTTGCATGTCATTATCTTTCCTAAGAATTCAATTAAATTTTCCTCTCCTTCTTGCATGCTTAAAACGCAAGTCTGTCGAACCGTCCACACAGGTGTTAAATGAAGTCTAAACAAGAGCAATGCGGCTTCATACTTGACTCGCAAAGGAATTTTATGAGCCAAAGACTTCCAAGACTTTGCTAGAAAGAAAAGTCGGAGATAATATTCAATTTGTAAATGACATTCACTCAAGAAAACCACTTTTAAATATTAATTAAAATCTATCCACCCGTACACGTACTATTTACTTGGCAGAATAAAGTCAAGTGTTTTTGTCGACACGCTGCTTTGAAAATTTGCCGAGATTCAGTAAACACCCCCTTGAAGGACGCATAAGATGTTGAAGAAAGCTTATACACAGGCGTAACTTGCGAAATACTTCTCCACCGTTCGTAATTGAAGGCAATTTATTCGCCGTTTTTAATGTCGTCCATTGGAAAGGAAACAATTTTAATATCTGAATAGTTTTTACTATCATCATTAAGAGGGTCTGCTATGACTAAAAGATCCATCAGACAAAATTTTTGTTAGGCTGTGTGTGTTAATTTTTTTTTACGTGAGAAAAACATGCAAATTACAGATGTCTTTGCAAATATACGTTACCCCCGCAACTGAGATAGAGCTTAAAAAAAATTTCAATTGAAAAAGCGTTTTTTTAAGAAATTTTTTGAATTGAGAAGGTCTATGGATAACACTACCTGACTCTAAAAATTTTTACCCGTTTTCGTTTATCGCTATCGCAAGGCCCCAATTAGCCTCAACAAGAAAAAAAAAAAAGCTCAGAAAAACAAAACTGATCAAACTTAAGTAATTGACTTTAAATAACAGTCGTAAATATAGGCCAGTTATGGTTCTAATGAGGTTCCTTTATCTTTAATGATTCGGAGCAAGTTAATTTTGAGTGTGGCAAGCCGAATGGGCCTGAAATAAAAATGTTAACAATTCATCGAGGAAATTAGCTCGTTAAAATATAGTGAGGTGTGTACCAAAATCTAAAATGTCCGAGAAAAAAGTGAAGTGAAAGAGATTATCAGCCCTTCTAGAAGTAACTAAGTAAATATTGTTTTTATTTTGATAGTTTTGCAACCATTTCAAAAGATGTCGGCAAATTGCCCACACAAATTTTATTAATTCTACGTTTATTGGTAGTGAATTTTAAATTATATAAAGGATGTTTAATCGATTGTATTCAGCTGAATGTGGGGCAGGTCGAGGAAATTTCTCTTGCGTAACACGACTCTAAGAAGCCCATATCGTCGCGGAATTCAAGCAAAAAGCCAATTTTTTATGGTACAGTATACAGCAAATAATCATTTCTTTCGAATTGTAGGTAACAAAATAATTAATCATAACTATCTTGAACAACATGCACGAAAAATATTGACTTACAAAGTAAAATTGCTCATTAAAAACATTTATTGTTTTATAGTTTATTATATGAATTGTAAAATGTTTCCTCAATAACGACATCACAGATTCAAAACATTACTGCTTCTCCTGAAGTAGGAATCGTGAATTCTCCAAAACAGACTGAAACTTCTTCTTTGTAAATAATATTCTATAGTAGACAAATCAAAAGAACCTTTAATGTTAACATGGCGTTTAACATTTCTAGCGTGGAAATATTTAGAAATTTTGATTAGTTTATCTTTTTAATTATTGTTAATAACACATGATGTTATTATTGACAAATGTTGTCTCCTTCCTCGACCTTGAAATAACTATGTACGGAATTAAAAGTGGTAATTTCAATTACTTAATATTTGAATTTTAAAATCTAATTTCACACTTCAACGCACATCGATCAGTTAAATTGTTCATTAAAGAACTCATTGTAACGTTTGGTTTTTTTATTGTCCTATGTTTCATTAAACCTGTAAATGGTTTTCAATATTGCAAAACTCCTCGCCACAAAAGAGGTAAAATAGGTACCTGTTTCTTATATTTTTAAGAGAAAAAATACAAGGACCCGTGAAAGAAAAATGAAAAACCTAAAGTTACCATAAGCAAAGAGAGGACATCTATTTACCGAAAGATATTGAGAAACTAACAATATTCAAAATAAAGATTTTTAAAAGGAGACAGCTTTTAAAGCTTAGAAGAAATTTGGGCGAGAAGTTACTGGTATATTATAACTTCACCTGTCTTCGCACAAGTAACACAAAAGCACATTTTGCCACTCAACTGAACAAATACTGTTGTAACGAGTAAGATACGTCAGCTCAATTCAAGCAATCCTTCTAAACTTTGCATGTTCGATGTGAAGCTGTTTAAAAAGCAATACAGCCATCACCACTATAAAACAAGCCCATTCATAACTATTAGGACAACATGTGTTTTTCGAAACTAAGATACTGAGAGTCAAAAATAAACTTTCAAAACTCAGCTCCGACGCAAGAAATTCTCATGCAAACTAATTTCGTGCCTTTAACAAAGCGATAACTTCAGGAGCAGGTTAAAAAAAAAAACAAAACAAAACAAATAAAATTTTGGATCAAAATTAGTAATCATCAATAAATTTTTGCACCCAAATGAGAATAAAAATTTTGCTGCATTTTCTGGGGTGCAGGAACCACTCCTTTGGTCAATAATGTTCTAGCCTTTAATCTAACGAAACCGTAGAAAAATATTTTTGTTTACAGAGAACAGAAATGTTAAATGTGGAAACATCGTTTGAACTGAAATGCAAATGCAAAATTTAAAGAAAAATGTGTGCTAGGAATATTCATGACGCATTGAAAAAAGAGAGAATACGAAAAAAAAAAAAACCCTTTTAATTACAGTCAAATTATTTAACTACCCACGCAAGATTTAACCTAAAATGGCAATTATTCACTGTAAATTCAAGCGACCTTTTAATCAATTAGATCCAAATTTCTTTTATACGATAACGAAGGGCTGCTTTTTTTTTTTTTTTTGCCACATTGCAATTAATTCGACAGTCTCGACAAGAACTCGGTTTTTTGGGAGAAGAGCGATACCGTAAGTCAAAAAAAAAAATCCTTTTTCCATAGCTTTAATCCGAAGGTCTATACTTTACGAATTTATTCTGTTTAAAAAAGTAAGATAAGGTTTTTTTAGGCTAATGAGACTGAATTTCCTGGAAACTGGTTCATAGGTCAAAATTTGCACTCGAAAACGATCTTTCCTAACAAAGCTGAACCATGAGTCCCCAGTGGTCTGCTATCAAGTTCCAAACTTTTCAACTTTGTAAGTCAATGGAAAAAAAAACATTTATTCAAATTTTTAAATATCTTCGGCTTCAACCGGCGAATGACCTTAAATTTCCGTATGAATGGTTTATAATTTGGCCATATGTCCATTAATTCCAGATTCTCTCTAAAGAAAATGTCAACAGCGAATGGAGTACAGAGTTAAAAGTCTCGAAATAGTTTCTTAATTCTAAGAATTAATGAACTAACGCTCGCGAATCATACGACCTTCAAAGAAAACTTCGTCAGAAAGACACGGCTAAATTTTCCCTTTAACTGAAATGACTGGTTAAATCATTGTTATGCTAATCTTTTGTCTGACAATTATCTGGAGAAGACCACTTTTGACATACAACGGCAATGAGCTTAAAATAAAGGACGAACTTTTAACTATTCACTTGCTATTTCTTTAAAACAAAAGTAAACCAACCACCGTCATGGAATGCTGATGACCAAACTTTCAAAACCCAGACACGTCAGTCTAAAGCTGTTCGCACCGTTCTCACGGACAAGTCTCTCTTTGCCTTTGAAATTGCTGATTCGTCGCTAAGTAATCAATGAAGTTGAATTGGTCGATGAAAAGAGCTGTAATTAGCCTATCTGTGGAGTTTTCTTTTAACAGGAAGTCCACAGGAAATTTTAATCCTCGAGATAAGTTCTTAAATTTGACGATCTTGCCTTCTAACAGTTTCAAATTATTCTTTGAAAAACTGATTATTCTTAATTGATAGCAAATGAACACTATTTTCTTGAAACTCACCTGCATAAAAAGGCATTGTAGAGACTTATTAAACTCCAAACCTTTCTAAAAATGTTCTTTTTTGTTTTTGTTTTTTGTTTTTGTGGGGGAAAATATACTTTATTTCAGGATGTGCTGATAGTTTAAAACAAAAACACGCGAGTCAGTTCTATATTTGCAAGTATTGTTGATCAGTTCAAATGTTTTTCATATTCTCACTCGATCACCTGTAACCATAAAAGTCTGTTGCTACATCATGTTGTTTTTGCACCTATATTTTCATAGCTGAAATTCTTTCTGCGATGGACTTACATGCTGTGGTAACACTTATTCTCAGACTCACATATACTTTAACTGATTTGAAAATTCTAGTGGAATTTTGACCGGCTTTTCGGAATTGTTCTTTTTGTTACCAACAGGACAACTGCATCTTCGTTCATATGATTCTGTTCTTCTAAGAGACGGCCCAAAAATGCACAGCAGCCATTTTGGAAATTACCGCTTCGATAAACATAATCACATCGTGTAAAGAAGATCTAACTCGAACCCCACGCAAACTCGAAGAAGACCCACTGAATTTCCCTTGGATTTGACCCCATTTATTCAGTCATTTACTATCAGCTAACTCGATCGAACTCAGTTGACTCGAACTCCCCATTAACTCGAACTCATTTTTAGCTTCCATCGGCTTAAATTTACCCTTGATGTCTCGGACTTTAATAAAATCGTAAGGAATTTAGCTTAACTTCCCGCACTAAACGTTTCTTTCTTCTCATGATGTCCACTCTCCAAAGTTTGGTCATAATCCCAGGAGTTACTGCGTTTCAACCAAAAACAGTTAGCTTAGCCAAGTGTTCTATTAAGACTCTAACGCTTCAACTTAAACCGCCTGCCGTTTGCAAAGGTTGATACGAATTGAAAGCAACCTTGTTTCAACACTCTCTGGCTATATGCAAATTTCAGATCTGTGAGTCCCTTCCCCCGAAGTACTGGTACGTCTTTGATCTTAGGTGCCGACCATTTAAATTTTGAGGGGGGTGGTGGTGGGGTGGGTGATTTCCGGTCATCAAGAATTTTTTTTTCTAGCAATCTGCTGGGTAGGATATTTTTTTCCGTTCTAAATGCTCTTTTTTCTGTTACATTTGGGCTGCATGTAATTTTTTTCTTCCAGGAAATTTTTTTTCAAAATCACCCACCCCCCCCTCAAGAGTTAAATGGTCGGTCCCTTAGTAGCACCCTTTCTTCCTCCACCGGCACCCCCTTCCAGTTCTCCTATCATCACCCTCACTCGATTAAGGTCACAACCAAAACATTCTTAACGGTGCCTAAAAGATTAATTCCCCATAACTTAGAATAGAATTATGAGCAACTACACCATGTCAACTAAACATATCTTCAATATCTCTGTCAAACAGATGACCAAATCTATTTTTGAAGTTAACTCTTCCACTCCGGAGATCTCGATAGTAATTTTTCTTACTCTCTGCCATACAATTCTTGTAACATTAGTTTGGAGAATATGGTATTGGATCAACTTATTATTCCCTAATTGATATTTTTCTCATCACTTGTCTGCTTGATATTGTATCGATCTAGTAAGGAGAAATTCAGTCTTGGTCACGTATGGGAGTGAAAGGGTTAATGGACCCATCTTTAGTATGCATTATCAATCAGGGGTTTCCGTAAAAAACCCGGTCACCAGAGGTCTATCACCACCTGGTCTTGTACCCAGACCTACCACGGCCATTTCAGTTACAATAACATGGTAGGATCTGGGTATGAGATTAATCACCAGACCCCTCGCAGCTGGCTCTCGCGTTTGGGTCTCGCCTCACTGCAGAGCCGCCTATTACACCACAGCCGCTTATGCAAACAGTTATTGAACGCCTGCTCTCAAAGGCAACTTTTCATTTTTATTTTTACTCTTAAATATCTGTTATGAAAGGACGAAGAAAATGGATTTTGTTCCTAAACAGCATTGGCTTAACGAAAGGCCTTTTAGCACTGAGATAGTAAGTTTCTTTGACTACGCAACTTCTTCTAGTCGTTTAACCACATGCTCCCTCATCAACATCTTGACTGGTACAAAGGACATCTCTTTTGTCATGAATACTGTAGCACTAGTGATCAGGAAAGCTGCTGTAGGTTTATCACGGGTGCAGTCGTTCCGCGCTGAAAGCAAATATTAATGTTGAAATTGCTAGTCCTACGATGTAACCTATAAGTGCTCCAATTACACAGGGAATGGGCCACACCTGAAATAAAATATAACAAAATTATTTTGCTTTTTGCCACCTCGTGGAATGTCAACTTTTTAAACTCTCGTCATCATCGTCATCGTCATCATCATCGTCATATTCGTCATCACTATCATCGTCATCACTATCATCGTCATCGTCGTCATCGTCATCATCATCATCCTCTTCCTCCTCCTCATCATCATCATCATCATCATCATCATCATCACCATCATCACCATCATCATCATCATTTTAACTAAAATTATTATTTTTATTATTGTCATTAACATTATTATCATAAAGGGACAGGAATCCTCTTTGTTTGCAGGAATAAGAGATATAACAGAAACCACTTTACAGAGTTCTATTATGCTACAAATATGTATCAGAAAAAGTTAAAAATACATAGCTCCAGTCCTCTCCCAGCCTAACCTGCCAGGGTCTGTCCCAGTCCAAAGGAATGGGAAAAGCTCCAAGCCATGCTCCTAATAGTGTGAATATAATAGAGCATTGGAAATATGATTCCGGAGTACCATCTGACCTAAAAATACAAACACAATAAAATCATACAGTCTTGCAAAGAAAAATGCATGGTGAGATAAGTTTGTTTACTGCTTACAGAAAACCCTTTATCATGGGCAGCCCATAAAATATTGAGAGGAGTTTTGAAGTTTAGAAAAAAATGCACCAATTCCTGAATTGCGATGAATAACATACTATTTGCTGAGAAAAGGAGGCACTCTGTTTTCTGATCTGTAAGGTACAGTAAGTTTCCTACTGCTAACTTCAATTTTTGTAAGTTAATCCTGAGAACTTAGCATTGTTTCATCCTCAAAATAATGCGACATTGCTCATTTTCTGAAGTCTTAGTGTTTGCCTGGATGATTCAAATTGTGAAATAAATTTAAGTAATATCATACTTCCAAGTTGAAAAGTTTATTGGCAAGGAGCGGCAAAGACATTTCTGGGTTTGAAATTTGTGATATGAAAAATTTTCATTGGAGATAGAGATAGAAATTTTTTTAGCTTGTCCAGCATACTAATCCATAAAGAAGAACTTAGCACTTACCAAGAACTGAAAAATATCCTCGAAAAGAGTTCCAAGTGTGCTCCTAGCAGGCTACAGGCAGGAAGGATGACCAAATGTGACATTAATAAAGCCCAGCAGAAGGTTTCCTCAGTTTGTCTGTATGATGGGTTAAGATGAAACTTGTCAGTGAAGGAAGAGGGTAAGTTTCCAAAGAAATTGTGGTACTGCATCAGGGAGGGGGGGTATCACAGACTGAGCTAGAAATGTAAATTAGCTTCCAATTTTTAGAGAGTCTCTAAAGCTGATGTTTCAAGCGTTAGCCCTCTATCAGAGCAGTGGCAAATTTACATCGTCAACTCAGTTGATAAAGTGTGGTGGATGTCCTCCCCTGGGGTGGGATGGGAGGGTTTAATGGGCCTGCGGTAATTGGTGCAAGCTGTCGCGGTGTCCCTGTCTGTCGGTGAAGTTAAATAAATAAAGTGTGAAAGTGTAGTGTGATCGTCTGGGTGAGGGTAGTCCTGAGAAAGACTGTTGTCGGTGGTGGTGACTGACAATTCAACAACCTGTGCAGAAGTCATCACCAGCGTCAAGTGAATCACTTGACGTTAATGATGACTTCCACACAGGTTGTCAAAACATCAGTCACCACCACCGACAACAGTCCTTCTCAAGACTACACTCACCAGGACAATCACACCACACTTTCACTTGTTACCCCTGGGTTCAAACCATTTACTACATCAGTTGATAAAACCACATTTTTTAACTGAGGGATGTGAGGCTGTGTTGTCAAAGAGCATGTAGCCAAACAAAACTGCTTGCTAATCTGCCACCTATAACCAGTTACTTTCCACCTATTTCTGGGGCAGATCCAGGGGTGGTTCGAGGGGTTCAGTTGAACCCCCTAAATATTCCCTCAGCACGCTGGAAATCATGTTTCTGAAGACCTAATTTTCAAAATCTTGGACCCCTCAGAACAGGAACAGTTCTCTGAACCCCCCCCCATTCTGAACCCCCCCTCTTAACCCCCCTTGACTAAATCCTGGATCCGCCCCAGTATTTCATAATAACTGCTAATGAACAGTTATCCAATTAATGAAATACCATCAAAATGTTTTACACTGCTGCCAATTCCTAGTTTTAAGCAGAGTGGAATGCGTAATTCAACAGTTCCAGGTCTAGATGTGCAAATCACTTCCACACTCAGAATTTACTTGAATGAAGCTTTGAGCAATCATCATGGAATGCGTGAGACATGCTACCTGAATAGCTCCTAGAGTTAACTCTTTAAGTCCACTGAGTGACCAAGACAGATGATAATGATACATTTTACAGCAGACAAGTAATGGGAATAAAAAAATATCAATTAGGGGATTATCCAGTCCCAAATTCTCAAACGTACATCATAAGAATTGTATGGCAGACAGAAAGAATAGTTACTAACGAGATCTCGCAATTGAAAGGGTCTCTTACTTCTATGCCCTCTATGGAAAAACTTATTAACCCCTCAGCTGACATAAGAAATTAATCACAGAAACTTTATAGTACCAGGTGTCCCAAGTCATTCTTCGCAATTTAAACAGCACCATTTAAAAATAAAAAACAAAAATCATACTCAGTGACTGAGGCTCCAAACAGGATAGCAATAACATGGAAAATTGCAGCTGACCCAAACACAAAAAGTATAAGCTTCAAAACTTGGACTGTCTGTAAAATGGTAAATACAAATGATTTTATAAATTATGTAGGGAACCTCTATTAGGATTCATAAAAATAAAACCGAAGTAGTCTTGATGGCACATCAAAAACAAGAGAACATCATGAAGGGCCATAAAGGGCTAGAAGAAAAACCATCAATTATAGCTGCCTTAAGGAGATCGTATGCAACTCCTCCTGGCAGAGTCAAACCACATCTTGACTAGGTTATCCCTGCAAGAAGGGCTGAGTAAGTGAAATACTTTTCTCGCGTAAACGCTTTTAAGCATTTGACCGGTTACCATTTGTAGTGATCGTTACCCCAGCCAACAATTAATCTCTAGATAAGGAAAAATCTTCTTGCCCAGTACTACCATCAACAGCATCAAGCGATGACAGAGAAGAAGGTTAATTGATCCTACCAAATGGGAAAAACTCACCGACAATTTGATCCTTGATTTCATGCGGATAAGTGTGAAACACAGCATGGCAAACACGAAACAAAATAACCTCAGAGATGCTGCTGAGCGCGTTAATAATGAGACAGGCGTTGAAGCAAAGTTTGAAATCGCCACAGAAGTCCACGCTGCCAATACTTGCACCAAACTAATGGTAAAAAAGTCCTTTGTAGTGTAAAGACGTAGAAATGCTGGTGCAAGGGCCGCCATCTTGTGGACTGTCTACTGCCCAGACTGCTCGCGTCCGTTCCTGACCAAATAGTTTCTTCCGAATTTTGTTGACATGCTCCTACACTAAGATATTCGGACAGGACAAACTTCGACTTGCAGACAAATCAACGGGGAAGAGTAATTATCATAAAGGAACTGAGATTTATTTACTCCCGGCGAAATGAACAATTTTATGTGGCTACCGCCCCTCACTGGATGAGAAGCCAAATATATTATCGAGATGACTGATAGTAAAAATAGAATCCCGAACCCGACTTTGACCAGATGTCACCTAGCGTTTATTTCGGAGAGTGTGTAGTTCGATATTCGCACTAAAGAAAGAAGAATGCCTTTAAAACAAATTATTTTGTGCCTCATTTAGTCTGGAAAAAGAGCAGGAAAAACGTGGAGACAAATATGGAGAAAAGAGCTACTTGACAAAAGAATAGGAAAAATGAAGAAAGAAGAAGAGAAAATAGAAAAGAAAAAGTGGCGAACAAGTCTAGGCGAAAATTTTCCTTGAATATCTAAATAGTTAGCCCGCTCATTCAGGATTTTGAAAGAGTTGTACCGCTAAGCATCAATTATAAAAGTTTCCCAGGCAAAACAGAAAAAATGGCCAATAGTCCTTTTTACAGTTGTGGGCTTGATGGCCAAGCCTTTGAACAGGAGTGAGGCTAAGGGTGACCTTGTTATGATAGAGATGTTGCTGCTTTTCAAATGCAAATTTCTTTGTTATCATGCTAACTAGATACAGGTCTCTATCACAACAGGGTCACACTTAGCCTCACTCACCCCTGTTCAAAGGCTTGGCCACCAAGCCCACAACTGTAAATATGACCATTAAGGAGCAGGCTAACACCGCGAAATATTACTTTACAAAGACCAGAAGGTTGAATGAGCCAACTCATTCAAGTAACAACATCATAATTTAAGAATTTACTAGATTCTCACCGACTACATATAGTTTTCATTCACAACAGCAAGCAATCCCTAACTCTACTCATTTCTCTGGTGCACAAGCAAAGTTCTACATGCGTGGAAGCTCACACGAAAAAAAAAAAAAATACAGAATTACTTTCACGCTTGCACAAGCCGAGTCACAGTTTAAATCTATGTACATTCAAGCTCCATGCAACGAAACAATATCTGTTCCTTTATGTACAATACTGAAAATAATGTACATATCCAACATATTTCTACAGTTATAAAACGGCTGTACAGTTTTTTTGCATGTACAGGTTTTCAGGTAGAAAAGCTTTTACATAATTTCCTACCCCATTATAAAGTCAGAAAGCTGTGAAGTGTATAGATCAAAGTCAGTATCTGAGTAAAAACGCACTTACCCTAACCCAACATTAACCCCAAGTTCTTATCAGGTGACTGTTGTCGGGTCACGGGAGGAGTGGGTGCGCAATTGCTCAGACACTGAACCAAGCTTTTTCTCCGCATTTATATATACCTCTCTCTTTAAGACTACATACATACCACAAATTCCTCCCTTAACTTTTAAGCGTACACTTACATTCATATCTATCACTACAGTGAAGTTTTTACCCTGTAACAGCTACATTCTAGGTTGCAATGTCTACTGTAGAGATGAAATTATACTTAAAAAACGATTTGAATTTCAAACCCTAAAACAATGATTAAAACAGTTCATGTTCAGCAATAATGCTGGGATTGAGTGAGCCCGCAATTACGTCAAAAAGTTGCTGGGCAACTGAGATTTCATCATAGCAAAAGGCTAACGTCACAAATTTCCAAAAAGTCCCTATTGTTATACCTTCCAACTCAAAGACGTTTTCCGATTGAAGGAGAACGTGTTACACTCAATACGTCAAACTCGCCAACTTCTTGGGCGAAGAAACCTCACTAAGTCCCCAGGGAAACAACAATTTGAACTTTCGACTTGCACGTGATCAGGTCATGTATCTTGAAACCACGGCACATTTGTGTTCAAGCCCGCATCAAGAAAAACATCTTCTATTTTTAAGTTGGCAGGTATAGCAAACCTTTTAGTAACTGGCCCCTCAATAAACATTTAGTTTTGTTTTTCACTTGGGATCACTCATTAAGTACTTATTGTTCGCACCATACTACGAAAGGCAATAACCAAATATCCTTAATTTTTCATCGATTCTTGAAGTTATTTTTTTTTCCTAAATGCTGAGGGAAGACACGAAAACAAGAAGCCAAGAAATTAAAATGCCAGCTGAGAATTGTAAAACGCGTACAACAGGGGTCGAACTTGTTGTCATCATACGGATAACTTGTCCTGTTGCGTCTGAGACTTGGCTTACAGCGTTGACATTCTTCATCTTACAAACAGAACAGATATCTACCAGTATGGATATAGATTATCAAAGAAGAGTTTCTTAAAACGTTTCCAGGCTTAAATTCTCAAGGGCTTGCTCTCCATTTTTCCGCGGCCTCCCGTCTGGCATCGGGAAGGATTTGATTACGGACTCCTCCCAGGACACTGGACGTGGCCTCTGTAGCCAGAATAAAGGGCTGGACCACTGTAGCCGGGACCTGACGCAAGACACCGCCAACAGCCCCAGTTACTCCGTTCTGTTCGTGTTCTTCTTTAGCGACTTGAACAATGTTTGTGGCTGTTTGACCCAGTCCCTGAAAACCAAGGAACCAGTATTTTAAAAGTCATTCAGAAGTGCTGCATTTTTACTCGGATTTCGTCGGAAAGCAGGGACTGGCTAGCAGTAAAAAACAATTTACATTACACAAACCATATTTTTCAATTAGGATGGAGTAAACTTGAAATCTGAAAGAGCTCGTGAATACTTTGATGATGATCTTTTTAGGAATTATTGCGTGTAAACAATACATGTCTGACCTCCCTGAGGACTTGGTAAGCATTGGATACTCCTTCACGTAAATCAAACGGCTGCTGTGCCAGTCGATTCTGGCCGCGTTTCACTGGGGAGTCTGGACTCACTACATCATATGCTGTCTCAGCTGCTGCCTGAATTCAAAACACATCACCCAACGTTACGCAGAAGTAAGTTCATAGGTGAATAAATTTACACTTAGGTAGCACGGAAGGCCGGAAAACTCTTGAACAAAAGCTCATCTTTCAAACCGGCAGTCTAAATCCCACAGGTATCAACGAACGTTTTTCAGTCCACTAATTTATTCGTGTTCTTCTCGTTGCCATGTTCCCACCAATCACCTAGCTCCTTTTTCTACTTTTAAAAGCACACACAATCCACAATTCCCCTATTCGCTCCGACGAAGGGCTAACGCTCGAAACCTCAGCTTTTATAATCGTAACGGTGGCCAATTAACCATTTCAACTTTGTTGATATATTCGAATAAATAGACAGATAAGTAAAATAAAAAACATTGGAGAGGCCTCTAATTCAGAGAGTATATCGAAGAGATAGTATCAAAAGTAACTGCAAAGGTTTCGTCAACCGATGGTTTACTTAGAGGAGAAAAAAGATAGGGCCGGTACTTGGTAGTTTGCTGCTTGTAAAATTACCTATTTCTAATGATAATCGCGTTCCTTGTGAAATTGCAAGAGCTTATTTTGGACAAAGTCGTTCACCACAGCAGTCACATTTTGAAAGGTGAATACTTCCAGGGTGAGCTACGTAGGTGCTGTTACACTACTCGATGGAGTTTAGATTCCGTCTTGCTTAATTTAGTAGTCAGCAGATTTCTTTTAATAAATAAAATTATATATCTTAGATTATTTCTAAAGTTACACTCTCTAAACATTGTTCATTTTTTTTTTTTTAACATTTTCTCACACCTGTATCATCTGCACCACTCGGTTGGTCAGTTCAAGAAAGGCCATAGCAGATGAAGTAGTGAAGGAGTTGGCTCCCCTCTGCAGTCCCCTTATGACACGCCCATCTCGCCAGTACTGATCAATAGGCAGCCACACCAGGTCCACTAATCCCTGGAAAAGCTGAAGAAACGAGTGCACAGGACCAACCCCACCCAGTATCCGGGGCAGCTGGGTGCTCCTAATGTCCGAAAGCCACTCAGACAACGCGTAGTTGATGACTCTGTCCATTCCAAGCAATCCGCTACGACAACACAGGCGTTTGAGACGCAGCTCGGAACAATTGAGCTGACCAAGACCGATTAACAGACCAACCAAGGTGCCCTGGAGAAACATAATTCTTGTAAGCGAGAATAAAGGCGAGAGAAGTCGTATGGGCATTCAAGATGATTTCTACTGTATAAGGCGTCGAGGATTATCGCTCGTGCTATTGAACGCGATTCTTGTTCTTCGCAAGAAACTTCCGAACACTTTGTCACATGTTTATGAAAAAGCTGGCAGCCGTTTAACTTTGAGAGTGGAGACTCTTGTCCGTGGATAAAACGTAAGGATTCAGACCAGACCTCGAACCAAGATCTGAGTCCTGAGCCCTGAGTCCAGTTCCGGAGTCCAGCAAACTCATCGCTCGACGACCCCATTTCAGACCAAGGAAACAGGTAGTCTGAGGTATCAGAGGTCTCCTTGCCCAAAATCCCCGCCTTTTAGGGGATTGGGGCGAGAACAAGGAGTCCACTTCAGAATAGCGAACAGAAACTCGAAAAAGAGCCTTATTTTGAATTGGATTTGAACTTATAAAAAACCAAACCAGAATAAAGGTTATTTTCTGTGACACATACGACACCAAACACATCTTACCTGCTCCATGTCGACTCTCTTTCCCTGATAATCCAACCTAATAGGTACCTCAGGAGAAAATACAAAGGACCTAAAGAAGGTAGGTGCTGGCTGGGAGGTGACTGTTTCCGACTCACTCGCGGACTCTACCAGGCTCTCTTCGGCGCTTGGGGTCTCCAATAACCAATCAGAAGTCGGGGGCGGCCTGACAGGACTGGAATCAACTGAACTAGATCCTAACAGAGGCCAAGAAAAAAAAAAAAAAAGAGGAAAATAACGATGAATGCAGAAACGGACGGACGAGCGAACTACCAGATAACATGGATAAAAGCGCTTTTCCCTGAGTATGACCCAACCAAACCAGAACAGAGGTATGCTATGATACGGGGGGCATAAGCTTATAACCTTGAACAGGTTCTATACTTTTGACTGAATGGTGCTCATGAGAAATAAAAGCAAGGTCGCGATTGGTTGTGCAATCAACAAGTGATTGAACGTTTCTCTAATATGTACGGCTGTAAATCCACAAACGATTTGCGTTAAAATTGGACACCCTGGTTTTTCAGAAAATATCCGATAACATACCTTTAGGGTTTTTTGCAGCTTCTCCCAAGACTTCCGAGAAGAAATTCCTCAAGAAAAATAAAGCGTCCTAATATGAGAAAAGAAGATAGGCCAAATAAGCAAAATTTTGAAGGTCAGTTCGGTAAAAGTTTCGTTTTCATTTGATTTTACCTTGAAACTGATTCTATATTAAACGACTGAGTAAACAAGCGTCCACTGATAAACTGTTCCCATACAAAAGAAGACAACCTGCCCACGTATTTATATTGATTATCTGGTTGCGTGACTGTGACGTCAGTGAATCAAGAATATTGCGTGATTTTACCTGATCAACATTCAACCTCAGAGGCTGCATGGAAACTCTCAGATTACACTCTTGGGCTTTGAGACCAGGATCGGGCCGAATGTGAAGCATCTTAAGCAGGATCTAAATAAGAAAAATTGTAAAAAAAAGTGAATGTCTATTATGTTCATTTGAGGAAGACGACCAGCATCTTGAGTCCACCGTAAAAGTATTTTTCGACGCAACCTGAACTATCACTGCCATAAGTTTTTCAACGAAGGGTCTGAATCGAAAAACAGCCAAGGTCATTTTTCAATTTTCAGACTTATCTACCACTTTTACATATTTTTTTTTCAGTTACTGACATTCCCGAATCCAAAAAAAAAAAAAAACATTCATAAACATCTCTTACAACACGAAATAAACCAACAGAGGTGTACGGTGTATTTAGTTTCGGATCAAATGAAACAGATGAGGACAAAAAAGAAAAAAAAAAATCATGAATACTATTCAAATTTGTCAAAAAAAAAAATCTTTCTGATTACCGACTAGGTTATATTTCTCTTAATGACCGAGAGCCAAGTTCCTTACCATGTTTGCATGAGTCTGTTTCGGGCAGGCCGTGGAGTCATACTGGTATAAGAACTTGTTCATCTGAGATTGTTCCAAACGGTCCCTTATCTCAACATCTTGCACGAGCACCACAACCCTTGACGCTTGCTGTGTGTCCTCGGGGTATTCCTCGTACTGTAGACGAATCTAAAGGAAACAAAACGCGAATCTTTACCCTTCGCTGAAGCAAAATTAGTTGCATCTAACCTCACCCTACCTTACAGTCCCTATGACAATTACTTTTTTTATTATTCTACATCTAAATGTAATGACTCTAGAACATGTTTTAGCAACATAAGCGGTATTTTATTGTTTTCTGAATTTTTTTTATCAAGCTCTATTATCCGTAGATAAAATGTCTGGCCGAGCAAAGAGGGGACTGGGCGCCGCTACGTCACAGTAGTAAGCATATGTTCTTATCATGCAAACAAGTGGGATTTGTAATTAGTAATTTCCCTGACTATTTCGGTGATAGTTTCGTGTCATCATATCCGATATTTCCAGTTGTTTTGACGAAAGTTTCTTCTCCGATGACTCGGAGTTTAATTATATTCCGGAAACGCGGTGATTGAATCCGAAATTGCAACTCAAAGCGATGAGATGGGAAGACAACATAGAAGACAACATAGAAGGGCCAAATTCAAACGAGCCATTAGCGTATCGAAAAAAATAGAAAAGGGACAATTTTACCAAGTCGTTTGAAAGGTCTCGAATCTACGGAAAGTAGTACGTTACATGAATTTTTGCCGACTTTAGTGACCGCATGTTTAAGCTAAACACCGTCGTCTTCTCAAACCGGGTTCTCGAATCTTACATTAATATCGCTCTTATTTCACTTATGTAAGACTTACAAAGTTTTGAAGCAAACAACTTGCCATTTGTTTGATATGGTTGGACATAAACAAAAACATAAATTTTGCAATTAGCACATGGTCTTAGATCTCTCGTGCGGGAATTTACAAACTGTAATCAGTCTTCTAGTTTATGTTGCGAATGTTATTAGGTATTGTTCTGGCAATTGATGCACCGAGTTCTTGTTAAATTTTAAACAAGACCATTGTTGTCAAAAGAGCAAAGAATGCACGGATTCTCTCAAACAGCCGGCTGTACTGGAAGATACGAGAAAGCCGATAGGTTGAGAAATCCTCCGGCTTGAAATGTACCATATTTGTTTGCCTATAAGCTGAGCGATTCTTGCACGAAAATACACTGAGAACTAATCAAACGTTAACAAGACTGGGGGTTCGGCTTACGGCCGAGTATTTCTTTCAAAGAACAAAATTCTTACGAGAGAACACCGTAAATCTAATGTATATTCGGCTAAGAGCCGCGCGATCATCAACTAACACAAATTACTAGTCTTACGGAAAATGATAGTTAGCCAATTACTTTTGTTTGAATGGAGCCGTTTTATTTAGTGATAACTTCAGGAAAGAGTGATAATTCGTCGTCTTCTTTGCTGTCGGCCTCAAGGCCATCCTGTCGTCCGTTAGTTCAGGCAATTTCATCCGTGTGAATGTTATCATCTTCTGTGCCGTTGAGCGCGTTCGAAATCCCACATGTTGTTAGATGATTTCTCCATCATCTCCTCTGGAATTTCTTCTTAAGCCTGTTTCACTTTGGATCGCTGCACAATTCTTTCCCCTTTAGCCGCAGAATTTATCCGCTGATAGCATTCCCGTAAAGAATGAATAAAAGTAAGATTTAGAGTAACTGCTTTGACTTGTTTTAACAACATCCGCAACTTGCATCCAATCACAAACAGTTATTCCCACGGCTAAGTAACACGATCTGACAGAAATCAGCTGAGGCTTTGCATCCCAACATTGTAAATGCGAAAACCACTCCAGAAGTGTTTGATCTAAAACAGGATACTTCGAATACAGCTCGTTTTGCTGACATTTTAAGCTCACCATTCGTCTCAGTTAACAACTCGCGTGGACCTTTTTACAATATTTCAACAAAAGTTTTGGTCTCGGTTTAGAAGCAAATGATTGCAGTGTCCACTTATGGCTTATTTTTCATAAAAATCCAACGGCTTCTGAAAGCTAAAAGTTTAGGGTTTCGGCTTATGAACAAATAATTATGGTATTGGACATATGCGTGAATTCGAAGTCGGTGTCCAGTTAGCACACCGCTCACAAACTGAATCTACCTCTTTCGCCTTTTCATAGCCTCTGGCCTTTGATCGCCCTCGAAAGGAATCTCGAGGAGCGAAATATTATTTTTGGAGTCAGGGGTATTCGAACAACCCTAAACTACTCATCGAAACGGCATTTTATCTATTTTATTTTTTGCTAAAAAGATCGTAAGCAATAGATTCCAAGCCCAGTTAGCTTCTTTGATAAACTTGGACTTACTACCATGACGTCACGAATATTTAGGTACCAGTACTCTTCAACACGACCAAAGAGATACCGGAAACCCAAATTCGCCATAATTTCAGACTTTTGTCATCTCGTAGAATAACAAAGAAGCACCAGAATCACCCACAAATCTTACCAAACACCTTCTTTATGGTTCTACTTTTATGATTTGATGCTAAAAAATAGGCGTCGTAGGGACTTCAAACAATGTCATTTCAATCATGTTGTGAAAACTCGACTTACACCAAAAGGACGCGTCAATGAAGGGCGTACGGTGTTAGCTAGATGGACCAATGCCCTTTATTTTCCACTCAGCTCCCAACCCAACCCTGGGGAGCAGGTACGATCTGAAGGGTTTTTCCTGAGTGAAAAAGGAGACAAGCACGAAGCGAACGCAAAGAGAAAGTCAGCAAAATATAAAACGCTCTGATTAATTGGTGTAAGTATATACGCACTCAGTGATCTTGACGTTTCAAGCAATCTGATTGGTTCGCTATCTCGGGCTATTCAAGAATATACACCTCCGAGCGAGTGGATAGTGTGAAAAACAAAATGGCGGGCGTAAACTCGCGTTTCGATTTTACGCATGCACCCGTTCGCGGATGCAAATTAGCATACTTCTGCTCACCTTGTTTAAATAAAACTCCATCAGCACATTGTTGTTTCTGTCCGGTCCTCCGTTTAGTTTGTTTGCAGTGCTCGCTGGTGCCGTGTTTTTCGTGAGCAACGACGTGGGTCTCTTCACAAAGGAACTGTCGACAGGCCGTCCTCTTTCATCCAATGCAAAAGCTATTCTATAAACAGAAATTATCAATATTACAAAACTCTTTTTCAACCTTGAACGAAGAGATGGAAGTAGGCTAACTAAATTTGCTTTCGACCTAATCCACGCAAAAAAATTATAGGTGTCAAAATACACTCTCAGTTATTGCTGCGGGAAACTGCAAATATTTTTCAGGGTCAGTCTTTCAGATTAATTCAAATTGTCAGTGGCTATTTCTTTTGATGGAAAAATATACAATTTCCGCAGTTTAGTTATGACAGCAAATCCATCTTCACTCACTTCTTCTTCGTGTCACGTGATACTGATCCACCAAAGTCCCGACCGCCATACAGATGCCATACAACGGACATCTCCTTTAGCGTACAGCAGAACACCGCTGGTGGAAAATTACTAGGGGCGCACAGTTGGTCACTTGGACCCAGCTGCGAATCAAGCAAACAAAACCAAAACGCGTAACTTCAACGATAACAAGTTGCCTAACACAGAGAGAGAGAGAGAGAGAGAGAGAGAGGGCGAAACGAAAAAAAGCTAATCCAAAACAAGACACAAGGTAAAATACTCACAGGAACAGTAAAATGATTATCTGCAATGTTGACTTGTTCATCTGTGAGAAGTTTGATGATAACCTCATGGCTTAAACCCTCAGGTTCTTTATCTGGGTGTTCCAGGATGCAGAAATCGTCATCACTATCCTCCTCCTCTTCCTCCACCTCCCCCGGATTTGGCGACTCTGCATTTGTACCTTCCGGGGGGTAATACTCCTCCACAAGACTGCTCAGCTCGTCATCAGGAAACAAGAACAGATCTCGTCTTGGTGATCTGGAAAGCTGGTGATTGAGGAGGTCTCCTTTGACGCTCTGACATAAAAGAAAAAGACGCTGTTTTACCGCCATGAGGTCGCAATAAGAAGAAATTTCTCACAAATGTGGATCAGATCATACAGCCCTGTGGAACTGAATCTGAAATAAAAGATACTACCTTGTCATGCGAGGCTCCTTCGTCCGCGTGAGTATCTACCATGGCCTCTGTCATGATACTACTCAGTTCACCTTCATCTATGGACCCTTGCTTGACTGGCGGCTCGGCTGGACAGCGGCTTGGAGTCTAAATAAATGCATGCGCGTTACAATTAAAGAAAAGTATTTCCCTCACATCATTCTACTACGCTAAGGGAATACGCAACCCTTCACTTATTTCTCCTTCTCTGTAAAAGATTGACAGTTATGCCTACTTACCGAGGGCGTTTTCGTGGCATCGGGTACCTCCGGTTCGTAGCTAGGCACTAGATCCCCGTCCGCTGCAATGTACTGAATCAGTTGAAGCAGTGCGGAGCATGAGTCCGAGCACGTTCGGACATTAACTGTGTTGTTGGACATGCGCAGTTCCGACTGAGGATGACCCTAAATGGATAGCGAAAGAATATATTTTAAAGAAACTTTACCGTTGCAGTAGAACCAATTCACATTTATGAAATTTAGGAAAGTTGGCCACCATTAGCTACACGGGACCCTCTAATCGGTAGTTAATCTTACAACAGCCGGCTCACGTGGAAGGCTGCAACTTCGTGATGGCTGCATTTTGGAGTTCTCGAGCAGATTAGTGATGGTCGATTTTCGGCAGTCCTGGACGTTTCTGTGACGAAATAGGGGTTCATACCTGAGTTGCGAGGATTTTTTGGACCTAGGGACAGAATTCCCTCCTACATTATTTCGACATTAAAATGAAAATTGCTGTTAAGTAAAAACGCAAAATGTTCCAACCTTTTCACTACCATCACTGGTGAATAAGGAGAGCTCAAACATCCCCAGATCTACAACACATACGTAGTCTGGAACAAAGATAATCACAACATCTGCATCAGCTTCAAGTTAACAACAACAACAACAGTAACAACAACACCGAAATCAGAACCAAAACAAAAATAAAAATAAAAACAAAAATTAAAAATCGAAAACAAAAAAACAAAACAACAACAACACGAACGCAAAAATAAACACAAAAATAAGAAACTCCGAATTAACTAAATAGCAGAAAGAACCTACTTCTGATGTTGGCAGCGCCACTGCATTTGTCGGAAAGATATAACGCCGCGTCATCGATAATAAATCTATAAAAAAAAGAAGTCATTCTGTCATCATTTGTTCCAAGGATCATTTATTCGATCAGACAATCATTAAATCAACAAAATGCAACCAGTTTATTTTTCGCGCGATAGCACACAGTTGATAACACTCTGAGCTAACGGTCCCAAGTTGGTTTTCTTTTCCAACTGAGTTGAAGCTGACGTTTCCTTCGTTTGGCTTCGTGCATTCGCACTGA